TAATTCTTTTTGAATTTTAAATGAAGCAAAAAGCTTAGATTCAAAGAGTAAATATTATATTGGGTTTGGGAAATATTATTCTACAGAAACAAAATGAGAGTACTATAGTACTTTTCCATGTCTTTCACTTTCGATATTATTAAAGTAATTGTTGAAAATCACTCACTGTGCCTGGATTCCCTTATCTGGAAAGTAGGACTACTACTACCTGCATAGATTTTCTTTTTAGGGAGATTTAAGAGAAAAAATTCTAATTTCTAAGAAAAAGTTGCTATATAATTTTAATGTTTTTGTTATTTTCATTTTAACAATTATGGCAGCTTAACTAGCAAGAGACAAAAGTAACTGAGTATAATTCGAATATATGGAATTTACATGAAAAGTGGGAGCCTTTGTCCTAATTACTTTGTGGAAGTGAAACGTACCAATAGGAAGAACTAGTCAACCACAGTTTTCTCACAGGAAAAAGTGTTTGTGTGCTATATATATTTAAAGCATGCATATTTGACTTTTTCTTCAATTCATCTGATATTTTCATTAAAAAATTAAACTTGGAATTTTTGAAAGACTTAACCAATGAACTAAATTTGAATTTTCTGAACCTGAAAAGGTAGTTTTAATCATTCCCTGATATATATTTGCAAAGAAGTCATTAATATACTTGGCAAGTGCTATAAGAATCATGGCTGAAAAGGACAGCAAAGCTACCAAGGTGAAACCACAAATGAGAGAACAGTTTGTCTGAATTTTTTTTCCAGTCTGGGTACAGGTTATGGGGTAGAGGTAGAGAGCTTCTTTCTGAGCCTCTTTGCTTTATAACCTTTCCTGTTAAAGCTTAACAGAAAACACTAGAATTTATAATCATTAAAGAGAATGAAATAAAAAATAATGCTCAGTTTCAAAAATTCAAGTTCATAGTCACCAGGCCTTTTCACTGAAAATAGTTGTTTCATCACTTTTTCTTCTGGAAGAAATGCTTGGCATGCAGTGAGCTGGAAGGAAAACATGAGACAGCAGAAAGTCTCAGCACAGTGTGGTCTAAAAGGTTCACAAGCAGCATCCTTTATGTAATAAATAATGGAGTAGCTGGAAAACTGCCTTTAAAAGCAGAAGTTTCTAGCCAAAAGTGAAGACTAGCCAATGCATTGGAGAAGTAGCATGAAGCAAAACCAGGAAACGTGCAAGGCAAGTTTCTTATGTAAAGCTCCATGAGGAAGTATATAATGAAATCTCATATAAACAAATTATGCTAAATGAAAATTTGCATTGTATTTCTTAGTCAAAGTGGTGGTGGGGAGGTGAGCAGGGGAAAAGGGAGTTGCTCCCATTTGGCTAAAGGCAGTTCTAAAATTGTGTTGCTAATCTGTGTGATCCAAAGAGAAGTGTAGAGAACAAAAAACAATTACCTCTCCTTCATGCCTGGTTGAGTTTTTCTGCCCCAAGTGGTTTTTAGGAGGCCCCTCTTGGATATTGCCAACAAAATTTTCACAGCCACTAGATACTTCGTGATTTAAAATTATTATAGATCAAGAGCAAAAAGGGGTTGTTTCTAATCACGCAAAAAACAAAGAAGGGATTTTGGAATGAAATTCTTGGAGTCTCTGTAGCATACAAATGAAGCCATGTTTAAAGTACTTTGAACTAAAGTTTTTTTTCAGATATGTGTTAGATTCAGAGGGGTTAGGAAAAGGTATAGAGAATTCGCAAGCAACAGAGAGCTAAAGTCAAGACGCGCTTCCAGGTGGTGAAGAGGCATCTGCTGCCAGCCCCTCCTAATGCAGCCCTTTAAATCAGGACTTGGCAGACAGAGTTGGTAGACCTTGCAATCACCAAGGAGAATTAGACCATCTCTGGAAGGATGAATGATTAGCAAATCAGAGTGTTTCTTGGTTAGAAAAAAGGGGTATCTTAACAAAGGAAAGCCAGTTCAAATCTCTTACTCTGCAAATTCTGCACTCGCTTGAAAGGGAAGAATTTGCTTTGGTTCTAGAAATCTTAAATCATGAAGTAACCCAAATTAATCAATAATCGCCTACCTACAGATCCCAAATTTTGTTTGCATTAGAATTGTGAGGCTGAAACGGATTTTTTTCCACCTCAATAAATCTTCAAATTTTGGCCAACTGGGTCTTGATATATATCGTATTCATTAAGTAAATATCTTATGAAAAGTGATTGCATCTTAATTCTTATGTGAGGGTCAGGGATAAAATTCATTGAACAAATTAATGTGAAGAGCAAGAGCAAAATAATTTTTTTTTAACTAAGTAACAGCTTTGGAAATACTTTCTCTTCTCCTCTCAGCCACACTGAAAAGCAGTAATCTTTGTTTAACTTAGGGATACAATGTTAGGGAATAATGTTAAAATACTGGTATATTATGTCATTGTATTCACAATTTAAAGAGGGCCAAATCTTATCAGAGATCTTTGAGTGAAAAAATGTGTATATGTCAGTGTCCTAAAGATTGAATGACTGAAGCTTGTGCTACCAGCCTGCAAGATGACCCCACTGATCCTTGACTCCTGGTAGTCATACCCTTGTGTAGTCTCCTCCCATGTTGAACAGGCTGACCTGTGTTACCTAAGGATATTTTGGGAATAACAGTGTATGACTTCCAAGGCTACATCATAAAAGACACTGTGGCTTCCACTTTGTTTTCTCTTGGATGCTTCCTCTGGCAGAAGCCAGTGAAATTGTGATAACACTCAAATGACCCTACAGAGAGATGCTTATGGTGAGGAACTGAGGCCTCCTACCAACATCCATGAGAGTGAGCCATCTTGGAAGTGTATCTTGCAACACCAGTCTAACCTTCAGATGACTGTGGCCCCAGTCAACATCTTAATTGCAATCTCATGAGATCTCGAGCGAAGCTGTTCCTAGATTCCTGACCTGTGGAAACTGCTGAGATAATATATGTTTATTGTTGTAAATCACTAAGTTGGGGATAATTTGTTACTCCAGCAATAGATTACAAAGTCTCCCCCCTACCCCCGAGAAATACTAACAAATGAACACACCCATTTTTAAGCCATTTACAAGTCCTTAATGGGGACTTATCTCAGGGAAGTGGTCATTTAGTTCTTTATTTCTCTAAGTGTTGTACCAAGACCAGCAGCATTGACATCACCTAGGAGTTTGCTGGAAATACAGAAGCTGATTCCACCCCAGACCTACTGAATCAGAATCTGCATTTTATGAGACTCCTCCACTACATGTAAGTATATCAAAGTTGGAGAAGAAGCCCTATCTGTCATTTGACTCCTAATGCTACAACTTATGGTTGGAAACCTAACTATACATTAGGAACACTTTCAAAAACCACTGTTGGAGAAGCCTATCCCCCAGAAATTCTGATTTAATTGGTCTGGGTTGAGGGCTATTATGGCCATGGACCTAATTATACTTCAGAATTTTTCCCCTGGAAAAACAACATCAAAGTCTCAGATCAGCTCTGACTTCCCATCATCTCCAGTCCTGGTTCTAGAATTCACATATGCTCAGGTATGTCCCTGAGACTGCCCTTGGGGAACTATAGTGCACTGAGCAGGAATCTTCTGGGGCATTTACCATGTGAGGGCAACTTCACAGCTGCTGAAGAACTATTGCATATATTTTTGTCTTCTCTTATTCATGCTCTTCCTGGATTCAGTTCATGCCAAGAAAAGCATCCATGCCTTCCTACCTTAACAGGTCGGTTTGGATTTGCTGTCCAGGGCCACTCAGAGAACCAGGTGTTGAATAACCTAAAGTTTCAGGGTGGCTTACCCATCTGTCAAATTAGGACCAGACATCTTTTAGTTTCATCTTTCCCTGATGGCAGAATGGAAGTAACTAATGTTTCCCACAAGCCTTTGGAAAATATGTTTTTACTGTTGACCAGTCACTACTAAGTTAAGATTTCCAGTATGATGGGTGCTTACAAATGTTAGACCTTTTACTTAATAAGCTCAAACTGACATTAAACACCACTTGAATGTAAGGTGGGGAGGGGTGCAGGTGTTACCTCTTTACTGATCCATCCCCAGTGACCGAAACAATGCCTGGCACATGGCATGCTCTTAGTAACCATTTGTTGATTAAATAAATCCCTCAAAACCCAATAACTTCTGATCATTCATTCATTCAAAGTTACTGAAGGAACCATGTTAGCGAATCTGCAATGGAAACTGTTTTATCAAAGAATTTTTTTAAAAAAAGGCCCAAATTTCCTTTTAAAAAAATACATTTTATGCCCAAATTTAATGCCAGGTTTCAGATTTCTGCCCTAGTTTGGCCTCGATTCCTCATTTGGAGGCTGGCTAAGAGTGTGATCTCTGCCCTTGAATCTCCTTCCTTTGTAGTTTTTTTGGCCTGCGCCGTTACGTTTCCCAGGCGTTGCAGCGCGTGCCGCGGCTGCGCCCATTAGCGCGCTGCGCGGGTTTGTAGCTGTCAGGCGGCCGGGGCTGCCTAGGACCCAGGAGGAGCCGCTCCTCTCGTGCTGCATCGCCTCCTCGCCCCCCTCTCTCCCTCCGGGGCTCAGACATCCTTTAGGGGCTGGGAGCCCCCTCCAGCCCTGACAGCGGGCCGCGCAGGCGGCGTAGTCGGGTCCGGGCGCGGATGCTCGCGGGTGGGCCGGGCCGGCCGGCAGCGGAGAGGGCGCGCTGCATTATTTCCCGCTAGGGCCGGGCTCTGGGGAGGAAGGGGCCCACACGGCCCTCTCCGCCCGGGCCCGCGCGCGCCGCCCCTCCGGC